CTTTCCTCCATCGTTAGGTCTTCATCTATCCCTACTCTCCAATTCCTCCTTATCTCCCATCCCTTCTCCAATAACTCCTTCCTGTCCTTCCGTTTCCCCATCTTCGCTATTAAAATCATCCCCGCTGTCCCCCTTCTCTCTATCATCTCATTCATTTCAACCCTTCTTCCTAACTCTTCCGTCACAATCCCCTCTCCCTCACTCTCCTTCTCTCTTCCGAATTTCCCCCCTCTATTCCTCTCCACACCACGTTCATTCTTCTTTCTCTCCTCATCATCCACTCCTCCCCCCTTTTCCTACCCCTCCTCTCTGACTCCTTCCTCTCCTTTTTTCTTCTCACTTTATCTCTTCTCTCTTCAAATTTCTTCCACATACCCTCTTCCTCTTGCTTCCTCTCCTCTCTTCTCGGCTCTTCTCTCTTCTCTTTTTCTCTTCCCTCACTGGCCCTTTTCCTCTTCCTTTTTTCCTCTTCTTCCTTCTTCACCAACTACCACCAATCTTCCTCCTCCTCTTCACTCCCCCTACTTCTCTCTCCCCGAGTTTCTCCCTCCTCCTCTTCTCTCTTGACCTTATTTTTCCCTACTGACCTCTCCGTACTCCCCCCCCTTCCTCTTCTTCTCTTCACCATCCGTCACTCTCCCCTTCCCCTCCTCGTCTTTTTCTCTTCCACCATCGTCCCCCTTTACCTTTTTTTCCTTCCTCTCTTGTTTGCCCCCTTCCTTCCCTCCCCTCTCTTCTGTCCTTCCTGAATTCGTCCACTCTTCCTTTCTTTCCGTGTTCTCCCCTCCGCCTTCCTTTCGTCCTCCCGTATTTTCTTTTCCTCTTCCGTTCTCCTCTCTTCATCCCTCCACTTCATCTCTCTTAATGCGACATCCTCTTCTCTCCTGGCCGCTTCTGTCCTCTCCTTCTGTCCCCCCTGCTCCCTCCTTTCCAATCCTTTCACTACTCTCTTCACAACTACTACCAGTTCCTCCACCGCGCTTCTTATTTCTCTTAGTTCCTCCACCATGCCTCCACTTTTCACCGATTTCGTCATCTTAATCACTCTTACTGCCAGCTCCACGTACCTCTTAACTCCGTCTTATCATTCTTGTCTGCTTATCGATATCTCGATCATTCTTACCTAGTGGCCGTCTTCTCACGCCATCTACCCTCTTTTCCAAAAAATTTCACTCCTCTATCGATCCATCGATCTTCTACTTCCCTAGTAGCCGTCTTCTCACGCCATCTACCCTCTTTTCTAAAAATTTCATTCCTCTATCGCTCTATCGCTCTTCTATTCCCACGTCCTCTCCATTTACTTCTTATCCTTCCTTACTACTATTGCACCGCTCTCTTTCTCTTGACTCCTTCCTCCTACCCTTCCTCCCCACTTTCTTCCTTACTCAGCACTTTCACCATAATTAGGATTGACCATGATAGGATTTTTTCACCATGATAGGATTTTTCGATTTATGAGGCTTAAAATAATATCTTAATTTTACATAAACTATAAAATATCTAGTAAAATATTTATTTTTCGATTATCTTACTTTAATACTTTTATGTACAAAATAATGAGAGGAATCAATTGGTGTAAAAAAAAACACATAATTGTTCCGAAGAAAAAATATGTAATTTGCAATTAACAATTACATATTTTTTCTTAAAAACAACTGTGTGTTTTCTTTACACCAATTGATTCCTCTCATTATTTTGTACATAAAAGTATTAAGGTAAAATAATAAAAAAATGAATATTTTACTAGATATTTTATGGTTTATGTAAAATTGAAAAATTATTTCAAGCCTCATAACTCGAAAAGTACTCAATGAAAAAATACTTTATTATAGTGTTTTGGAAAGCTCTCGACATAAGCTATAAGAATATGCAATAAAAATAGGTGATTCCATTAAAGGTGTCTTTGACCTGACCTTAACGATGCCATCCAAGGTCAAACCATCTTATGTTCCCCTCAAAACCATACAATTTTTGTCGAAAACGTTTTTTTCTAAAATGCTTAGTTTTTGAAAGAAAAGGGGTGTACGGGTGGTCTAGGACACCCTGTATACTATATATATATATATATATATATATATATATATATATATATAATTATTATATTATATATATTTATATTTGGCTTGTAAAATAGATATATTTATTTACCTTGCTCCAATTATCATATCACCTTACTGGCTCTTGCCAATTTTTAATTAATAATTTAATTACTTATTATTTATTAATTAATTTTTTAATTAATAATTTAATTACTTATTATTTAACTTGCACTTTATTATTTAGCACTACTCAAAATGCGGTTAATGATACACGTCACTAATGACGTGACACATATGACACATGCCATTAATATCGCAAAGCATCGCTAGCGCAACCTTCTCGCAACCGTCGAGAATAGGAAATGTGTGTTTTCTCTTTCTATGTGTTGTGTACATGTGATGACCATGATGACCATGATAAGGACATTTCCTAATTGAAAATTTTCATATTTCGACTTTACGTTATGATATCTCCGTTTATAGATCACGCAGCGCAAAAATAAAGATACTTTCTTTATACAATTCAAATCCGCTCTATCGATTAAGGCTAGTAAGAATTCGATCCGTTCAGCCGTTATTGAAATCCGGTAATCTGAGTTACTCTCAGTCTAGTCCGCCTCGCGTATAGATAAACGGAGTAGCACGCGTTACTTTGCATGAACTTGGCGCGAGACACTACTGTGTCTCTTGATTAAGAAATGATTTCAAGCCTTATAACTCGAAAAGTACACGAGGGAAAAATATTTTATTATACAGGGTGGCCGCGAAAAGTACACGAGGGAAAAATATTTTATTATACAAGGTGGCCCCGAACGTTCCAGCCAGACTTTGGGATCTTATAGGAAATTTAATTCTGAACAAAAAATTTCCTATAAACATGGGTCGAAAAATTTTTCCTTAAGAAATTATCGCTCAAAAACCTCTGATGAAGGAAGAGCAAAAGGTGAAAAGAAAATGAAACTAATAAAAGTTAGTTAAAAAAAAAATTATTTTATTTTCATAAAAGAAAAAGATTTTTATTTTTCATTTTTATCGTTTTTTCCAAGAAATTTATTTAGTTTCATTTTCTTTTCATCTTTTGCTCTTCCTTCATCAGAGGTTTTTGAGGTTTTGATAAATTCTTAAGAAAGCATTTTTCGACCCATGTTTATAGGAAATTTTTTGTTCAGATTTAAATTTCCTATAAGATTTCAAAGTTTGGCTGGAACGTTCGGGATCACCCTGTAGTGTTTTGGAAAGCCTTCGAGCTACAAGAATATGCAATGAAAAATAGAAGGTTCTATTTAAGAAATTGACGGTGACCTTCACGTGTCCTTCAAATGACTCTCCAAGATCAAATCATTGCCATTATCTGATGGCCTCCTTCAAGCCATACAACTTTTGCTTGAAACATTTTGTTATTTAACGCACCGTTTCGGAGATATTTGGGCGTATTATTTAAACTGGGACACCCTGTATATTTAAATGTTATGTTTAGATTTATAAATGTCTAGTACGATAAAAACTTTCAATAATTACATAAAATATCTTTCAAATGTATCTGTTAATTATCTTCTATTATAGAAATATAGAATGTATTGCGCGAAGTATGCATGGACAAACACAAATAGCATATTTACAGAGAGATTTATAATTAATTCTGGAAAATAATTTTTCGAAACATAACTTAATCATATATGGTTGAAATCATAAAAAATAATCTTTCACTTGATGATAAAGAAATTTCAGAATTGGAAAAAAAATGTTTAGTGGTGGGGAATTTTGAAAAATTAAAAAATAAAATTTTTTTTGTCTTTGTAAAGTACTCTTGAAACTATTTAACTTTTAATTTGAAAAATGTTTTCTATCTCTTATAGTTGCGGAGATATTTGTCTCTAAAGAAAAAAATCGGTTTTTTTCAAAAGGGTGTTTTACCTCTTAGACATGCGTATGGACATATATAAAAAAATATATGTCCCTTATTTTTTTCTATAAAACAACTTAAAAGTTCATCAAAATCGGAGAGAGACACTTTCGTGCATCTCTTTGTGTAGTGGATATTCTGCTGTTGGTGAACAGGAACTACAGATGTGCTTCACGTCTTTAAATCTCCCGATCTTGCTTTAATTGATCGGATCATTCCCCGATAGTTTTAATTGACTTGACTCTATATTGAGTCCAATAAGATCCAATAAAAAATCCGAAAAAAGTCTCGTAAGTAAAAAAAATGGAAAATGAAAATTAAAAAGTCTCGTAAGTAAAAAAAAATGGAAAATGAAGATTAAAAAAAAATCGAAGCCTATTTGGGCTCGAAATAGATCCAAAATTAGATCTACTATATCAGAAAGTTAAAGGCTTCAAGGCAAACCTGACACAAAAAAATTCGTGGCAATAAAAATTTTAATCCGAAAAATCGATTAAAGCCTTGTTGAGCTCCATAGGTCCCGGATTCAAAATGACTCAAATTATTAGATAGCTACCAAAAACGAAATACAAATTAAAATACAAATTTATTTGTCACATTCGTCATTTCTTTGATATCATAGTCAAAAATCATTCTATAATATATCAACATTATGTAATATATTAAATAAGTAGCGCTGTTTTAGGTTGGAGGAGGTTTAGCGAAAAATGACTAGAAATAAAACTTTACTTTTTCATGTAGAACAAATCCGTATAAAACGACTTCCGTAATAAAAGAAATAGGAATTTCCATTTAAAAAAATCGACTTGAATCTTATGGGATTTGGGCTGAAAATAGGCGCTGTACTGAAAATTTAGATGATTTATCGAATGATTTTTTTGAAATCTTAAAACTTTTATTTGAAATATTTTTTATCAAAACGTCATGTTTTTGAGTTGATATAAAAGTTAAAGTAAAATAGGACTCTATGCAGATCCTTGAGAACTTTTTAAAGATTCCTAATTCTTTATATATATTTATGTATATTTTATATGTGCATAACAAAGAAAAAAACATACCGTAAATATTCCGTCATCGTCCACAGTAACTGTAGGCCGTACAGGATTTGGAGATTTTTCCGATTTTTCTTGGTTAGAATTATTACTCTGTTCTGACTCTTCATCAGATTCTTTCTTCTTTTTTTTCTTTTGTTGTCTTTTGGTGTCATCATTAACAGTTGTTACTTTTCTCCCAGTTAATGTTATAGCGCGCCAGAGTAATTTTTCCAGGTCCAATGCAAATAGATCATTATAAAATATTCCACATAAACTTTCTTCATCATTATCACTATCGTCATTATCGAAAACACCACCAAATATGAAAGCCTGATTCGCATATTGAAGTAATGCAACAGAAACGCCACATCTTGGAGTCACTTGAATCCCGGTTTGTTTCACGCAAACCCACTTGTACTTGGTTAAATCATTTTTATCCATTGGAGTCAGGAGAAACATATCGGCATGAATGCAACCCCGGTCTATTTCTTTTTTTATCTTTTCTTTACTATAGCCGCCGTATACAACAAGCTTACTATCGGCAGTCGGCAGTAATATACAGCCGGATCGAGGAGCAGGTGCAATACCTTAAAAAATTATTTCAGCATATAAAAATTCAATATATAAAAAATTATATGCACACACACGTATATACAGGGTGTCCGATTCGTGAGGGACCAAACGAAAAGTGATGATAGATTGGGTTAAACTAAGAAGAATAATCCTCTACCATTTTGCAAAATTCGCAATAATTATTAAGTAATAAGCAAAAATGTACATACATATACATACATGCATACATATATATGATGATAGATTGGGTCAAACTAAGAAGAATAGTCCTCTATCATTTTGCAAAATTCGCAATAATTATTAAGTAATAAGCAAAAATGTCCCGGCGCATGAGAAGCGGTAGACCGCTTTTTGCTTATTACTTAATAATTATTGCGAATTTTGCAAAATGATAGAGGACTATTCTTCTTAGTTTGACCCAATTTATCATCACTTTTCGTTTGGTCCCTCACGAATCGGACACTCTGTATATACACGCACACACATATATTTGTGTGTGTGTGAGAGAGCAGAGAATAATGAGCAGTGAGCAAAGCAATGACCACTGAGCAATGAGCAATGAATAACAAGTAATGAGTAGTAAACAGTGAACGGCGGAAAATCATCTCCACAATATAAATTTACAATTCTACAAAAAAACAACTGATGATTTTAAGATATTTTGTATATAGAAAACACGAGCGTTAAATTTATGTAAGATATTCTTTTTTAAAACAAAATTATTGATTATAAAACATTATAATGATATAATTTTTATTATTTATATTATTGTTGGATAAAACCGTATTTTGTTTTTATCGATGCTCGCGCGCTTCACGCAATATTTTCTAAAAAGGAAGTCAACGACAGCGCATGCGTCCGCGCGTGTTATTGTCTTCTCTCGTTTTTAGTCGAATCGAGTCGGTCGTACTGAAACATGCTTTTCCATTTTTAGTTTTTTTGTCCAGTGCATCATTATACAGTTTATTTTGTTATTTAAGTACGATCGAAATATAAGATTAATTGTCATACAGCACATGCTCGGTTTATTCAGTATTCCCGAAACTACCCGTTCCTGCTATCTGCTCAACAATTATATTATTTATTCAGTGAACAAGTGAGCACAGTGAACAGTGAACAAATGTGTAATGAATAAGTAAATAGTGAATAGTGAACAAGCCGTTTTATAATTTCACTTTTTTAAAATCGTTTATAGATCGTAATTTATTTAATTTTTCTATTTAGTCCCCCTCTTCCCACATGTATATAAAATTTCATCAAAATCAGAATTTTCCATTTTGCGAAGTTCCTTTGTTAATTCACAAAGAACTAAAATAAGACGATTAAACGCAACAAACTATGACATTAAATCAAAACAAATATTTAGATATTCATATATACGGTGTTTGACAATTAATGATCAATACTCATATACAAATAGAAATCTTTAAACTGAACAGAACAACAAAAATAAGTTTTATTATATCCTTATAACTTTATTAATTATATGATACGTTGTTTTCATTCTAAAAGAGAATGATAAGGAGACTCGCGCGAATCTCGCATTCGCATAGAAAATCAAAATCCCAGTAGAATCGTACAATGGATATAATTTTGCTTCAAAACAGAAAGAAAGGGAAAAGTGTGTAGTGGACCTCATTTTGTATGGAAAGGACCCCATACATTTTATATGAAAAAAGTGACTTCGATCAACTTGGCTGAAATTAAAATATGTTATAGTTTAGGTGGTGCTGAAATTGAAAAAAATTTTGTTTTCAAGTATTTATATATTAATTTAATCTATATATTTAAAAACAGGCATTTTTTAAACTTCAATACTATCCACTTTAAATCATCGTATCATCTTATCATCATCGTATTTTTTATACTTTTGATTTTCAGACTTTTTGCCCGAGGAAACTTTCGATCGGTACCATCTACATCAAACTACATTTTTCAATTTCAGCCAATTTGGCCGAAGCTACATTTTTCATATAAAATGTGCGGGAATGTGCATGTCCTTTGGAAACCTATATAAAACACTGCTTTTAGTGTAAAACAAGTCTATTATTGTGTAATTCTATAGTAGTAATAGTAGTAGTAGTAGTAAAGAAAACGAGTGGGGCTAGGTCAGTCCCTAATGTCACCTAGATCTAAAAGTTCTTTTGTAACTCTCGTGATTGTCTGAGGTTATAAGTGGCGATCCATCTTATTCGTTACAAGAAGGTTGTGTAGGTCGCGCACCCTCACGTTTTGTAATTCACAGGAAACATATGACCCCAGAGTATATCTCCTAAGAGTAAGGACAGGACAGTAGCACAGAATGTAAAGGAGGTAGTGCACTTGGACACAGTACAATTAGACACGTTCCAAATAGACACATTACAAATGGACACAAACTTTGCATGGTTCAATTGGGTACTGTTCAGTTGCACCGTTTAATTTCACACTGTTCATTTGGACACAGAAATATACGCACTGTTTATATGCACATCGTTTGTTTGCATACCGTTCAATTGCGCATTGTTTTTTTGCACACCGTTCATTTGTACATAGAAAGATGCGCATCGTTTATTTGCGTACCGTTCCTTTGTACACCGTTCAGTTCCGCACTGTTCGTTTACACACCGTTCACTTAGATATGTTACAGAGGCAAACGGTTTACTTGAAAAAATATCAGCTATCCTATTGTGTTTTATAATTGTAAATATTTATTGTGTTTTATAATTTGTAAATATTTAAATGTTTGTGAGTGCAGACAGGAAGGGGCATGCTCCGTTCTTCCCCCGTCTTTCATAAAGTTTTAACTATAAAAGCAAATATATACGAGGGTAGTTCGAAAAGTTCTCGGCCTGGCAAAGAAAACACATGATTTCCAGCAAAAATCTTTTTTATTTTTCAACATAGTCCCCTTTCAACTCAATACATTTAGACCAACGATGTTCTAATTTTTTTATACCCTCAGTATAATACGATTTGCTTAAGCCTCCAAAATAAGCATCCGTCTCAGCGATGACCTCCGCATTTGACGTGAATTTTTTTCCAGCAAGCCATTTTTTCATATTCGGAAACAAAAAGAAGTCACTGGGAGCTAAATCTGGCGAGTACGGTGCGTGTGGTAACAATTCGAAACGCAATTCATGGAGCTTTGCAACTGCAATTGAAGACGTGTGAGCGGGTGCATTGTCGTGATGGAAAAGCACTTTTTTCTTTGCCAAATGAGGACGTTTGGTTTTAATAGCATCGTTCAATTGCTCCAGCAATGCTGCATAATATTCCCCATTGATGGTTTTGCCTTTTTCTAGATAATCTATGAACACCACACCTTGCGAATCCCAAAAAACAGTCGCCATGACTTTTCCGGCTGATGGAACTGTTTTTGCCTTCTTTGGAGCACTTCCACCCGCTTCCACCCATTGTTTCGATTGTTGTTTCGTCTCTGGCGTGTAATGGTGAATCCATGTTTCATCGACAGTGATAAATCGTCGCAAAAATTCGGTTGAATTGCGTTTAAACAAGTCCAAGCACTCTTGAGAAATGTTCGTTCGAATGCGTTTCTGATCGACCGTTAACAAACGCGGCACCCATCGCGCTGAGAGCTTTCTCATATGCAAATGTTCATGTAAGATATTGTGAACACGATCTATTGAGATGTTTGCAATGTTAGAAAGCTCACGCACTTTTACTCGTCGATCATTTAACACGCTATCGTGGATTTTTTGAATGATTTCCTCATTCGTGGCGGTTTTCGGGCGACCCGAACGTTCATCGTCAAAGATGGATGAACGGCCACGTTTAAATTCAGCAGCCCATTTCTTCACTGTTGAAAATGATGGAGAAGAGTCTCCCAAAGTGGAATCCAGCTCGTTTTTTATTTCTGTTGCCGTTAATCCTTTTAAAACGAAATATTTTATGACTGCGCGATATTCAATTTTATCCATTTTTGGAGAAGTATCAAATCTTGTCTGTTTTACTCGAGCACAGTAAACAAACTAGCGAACGAATCTGTCTGAAACTGTGCGGTACGCCCTCTGAGGGATTAAACTTGAGAAAAATCATAGCCATTTGATATTCTTAGCGACATTTCTATATTAGGCCGAGAACTTTTCGAACTACCCTCGTATACTAAATATATACTAAAAATACCGACAAGAGTAGAAACAAAATTTTTACGCAAGATAGGACGCTTTTGTTTGCGATTTATAATACACTCTCCCTGTAGGGGCCTCGCATCTTTTCAGTATCTATCATTTTTAGTATAAAGTAGACTCATCAAGTAGTTAGTAAGGCGAAGATTTATGTAATAAAATTCTAAAAAATAAATTATGCAACAAAAATCCTCTCATACCTCTCTAAATAAACAATGTGTATATTTCTGTGTCCAAATGAACCGTGTGCAAAGTTTTGTGTCCATTTGTAATATGTCCATTTGCAACGTGTCTAATTGTACTGTGTCCAAGTGAAGGCCAGTGAAGGCCAATGTGAATACTATCCTTTTTTTCTTTGCCACATAGACAACAGCCTTTCCGCTCGGCCAGGCCAATAAACTAATGGAAACTTTAAGCTTCTTTCTGCTCATTATTGCAACGGGCGCCCCGCATAAGCATCCGTTTGACGGTGAATTGCGCCACCCTTGCCTGCCTCTTGTATCCGACCCATCATAAGTTAATTACTTTCTTTAATAATTCAAAAAACTAAGCGTCGGATAAAATTTTGCCAAAGGAAAAATTGCCTTAGAACTAATTGCCTTGACTAAAGAATATATCATTTTACGAACAATAGGGTTATTTTGAATCATCCTGTATATCAAGATTATTGATATTTGTAGGGATTGATCATATTTTAGACGAATATTATTACCAATAATAATAATATTAACAACAACAACAACAACAACAACAACAATAATAATAATACTTGTTTGTTTATTTACCAGTAGGCTCGACTTTCTGCCACATATAACTCTCCAAATCGAAAATGTGCACATCATTAAAATATTTATAATCGTGCCGCAGATTATCATAGAATCCACCAAATACTATCAGTTGCTTCTTTAGGTGTACCATCCTATGTCCACTTCTGGCTGACGGACCGTTTGCAGATCTATAATCATCAATATATACAGAGTAATCTATTTTAATCGATATAATTTAATAATTCGAAAATAATTTTTGTAAAAAATATTTTAAACAAAAAAACATTTCGAAAAGGACATAAACTGCTTAAATTCTTAATAAAGAATCCCGCATAAATCATAGAAAAACGTTATTTCAGTAAAATTGTCTAAAAATTGAATATTTTAATTTATGATTTCCTCAGGAAAAGTCTCAATAGATATCACCTTAAAAAATGAACAAATTTTTTTGTTACTGTTAAAAGTGAAAGAAGGAATAATCTCCTTCACATAGACACTTTCTCTACGAGAAGTGATGCATTCAAACAATGCGCTTCTTTACGAGAAGCGTTCCACTAAGATGGTGCTTCTTTACGAGAAGTCTTTTCTTGAGATGGCGCTTCTCTACGAGAAGCGTCGCTCCCGATCTCGCGTACAGGTATAGAGCAGCGCGGCGATCGCGCCCCGTTCCCGGGGGCGAGCTCGGGTTTTTCCGTTTTTCGTGTTTAATCTTCCCTGGACGACGTTCGCGTAACGACGGTCTGTGACGATACATGCGACTTGGATTGAACTTCGAGTGCGATCATCCTGGAAGCTGAGTGGAATCATCCTGCAATCTGAGTTCAATCATTCGGCAAGCTGAGCTCAAAGGGAAGCTGACCTTCTAAATATTGATGGTGAATCCGGAATCAGAACTATTCCAGCTCGAAACAAAGGATCCGCCATCTTGATACTGGAATCCTCTACGAGGATCCAGGTTTTCAGCTTCATACTGAGGTTCAGATCGGGATAACGGGAGAGCTGGTCATTTCGTCTGAGGATCTTGTTGGTTTTTTTTTCTTTCGTCTGGAAAGAATTGATCTACGATCAATTCTTCCGGACAGATCTTATGACACGTTGCACCGGCCCCCTACCCCCGTTCCTTTCTTTTCTTTGTATACAACCACACACACCCTTTTATAAGCCTCTAAATATGATACTCTAAATTTTATTCAATATCAGAAAATTATTCTTAATCTTATCGACGTGAATTCAGTTTAATATTCGTTACTAACTTAATTATTACGTTAATTCCTCTATATTAATTATACTCAGAAGTGTTATTTAGTTGTTATTAATTAATAGATTATATCGCTTATGTTGTGTGAATTAAAAGTTCTCATTTTTTCTATTTTTTGCAGTGAGCATTTATTTCGTCTCTCGCTCTCTCCTTCTCTCTCTCTCTCTCTTTCAATCCTCTGCGTGTATACTTAAAACAAAACATTTTTTGGTCCTTCGAGCCGGATCACGGCAAGCAGTTGGAGAGCAGAATGAGAGTCGATCATATCGAGAGACGTATCGAACAACAGATCATTCTTAAGGAATTGATTGACAATGCCTACGGCAATTTTGCAAAGGTTGGATACTCCAACGTCACTTCTTACCGAGTACAAGCACGACTCGCTTCTCTTAACGAGAACTGGTCAAAATTCTCTGTTATCCATGATGCCATCATACTGTCTATGACAAAATTAAGCTTAGAGGAACAATCATGTTTAAGAAATCTCTCTTACTTTTCAGAAAACTTATTCTCAAGTACGCATGAATGCTATCTCGAGGCAGTCGAAAAAATATCTTCATTACTTGATTCTGAAAATCAAGTTACAAGAACGCCATCGACTCCTTCGGAGTCTCAAACATCTGGCGTCCCTGTGTTCTTCCATCATGCAAGACTGCCTCGAATTGATATTCCTAAATTCAACGGATCTCCCGCTGATTGGTTGTCATTCAAGGATTTATTTAGCTCTCTCATTTTAGCAAATCCTACTCTAACCGCTGTCGAGAAATTACAATATTTAAAGACGAGTCTGATCGGATCTGCTTCTCATTTGTTGAAAAATACCACGCTTACGGCAGATAACTTCCAGAAAGCCTGGGATGCACTAATTTCTTTTTACGAAAACAAACGATTGTTAGTTAATGCAGCTCTTCATTCTTTAGTAACCCTCAAGCGAATGACGAAAGAATCTGCCAACGAAATGGAACAGTTATACACCGGCATTATGCAAATATATCGGACTCTGGAAACGTTACATCGACCTGTGGAGACTTGGGACGATTTTTTAGTCTTTCTCGCCGTACAGCGATTAGATTCAGAATCGGTCAAGGCATGGGAGCATCACCTAGGACCATCCAAGGATCCTCCAACATGGAAACAATTCAGCGAATTTCTGATAACTCGTTTGCTATCACTGCAAGCTTTCGAAAAATCCCGGACAGGTAAATCATCTCAGAGTGCCATCAAGTCTCATTTTCAGGGCAAGGCGAAAGAAGGTCAGTCCAGCAAAGCAAATTCCTGTGTAATCTGTTCTGACAATCATTATGTGCCAAAATGTCCTCAATACAGCTCGAAAACAATTCAACAACGAGTTGCAATCATCACAAAACATCGTTTATGCTATAATTGCTTAGGATCTCATAGAGTGTCTGCTTGTCGCATAACAACCCGCTGCCAAAAATGTGGGCAAAAACACCACACTACGATTCACCAACATAAAGGAACAACTTCTGATACGGGAATTAATCCTGATAATTCATCCGTTACAAACCCTAAATCCACCGAAGCTCATGTTTTGCATGCTGCAAAACAATCAAAACCATCGATGTCATCTATATTTTTGGCTACCGCCCAAGTTGACGTCATAGCACCGAACAACGAAACCTTAAGAGCAAGAGCTTTAATCGATCAAGGATCTGAGATTTCGTTGATTTCCGAACGCATTGCACAAGTCTTACGACTTCCAAGAACACGGTCATCTATCCCGTTAGTTGGAATAGGAGGAAAGAAATCCAACAAAACACGAGGAATCGTTTTCTTCAAATTCAGACCGCATTTCAATTCCAACTCAGAATTGTCAATGACCGCGCATATACTGCCAAAGCTGACTGACACTATTCCATCTATTCAGATTGAACAACGCAATTGGCATCATTTAGATGGACTCCAATTAGCGGATAAGGACTTCGCGTATCCAAACTCTATAGACCTAATACTAGGTGCAGATATCTACGGGCAAATCATTGAAAGCGGACTTGTAAAAGCGGACAAGAACTCTCCTATCGCACAAAGAACGAAACTGGGATAGATCATTTCAGGCGTAGCCGGATCACGTGCGAATCTCAATAAAATACAAGGATATCACGTCTCACTTAATCGAGAGCTTCACGATTTAATCGCTAGGTTCTGGGAGAGCGAAGAAGTCTCTACAACCTCCACATCATCTCTATCTAGAGAAGCTCAAGAGTGTGAACAGCATTTCCTCACTACCCACTCTCGGGATGCTGATGGAAGATATGTCGTTCAACTTCCTTTTAAGAAAACGACAAACAGCCTTGGTGATTCTCGATCAAAAGCTGGGCGAATTCTTAATAATCTGTCTAAGCGATTAAAGAACGAACCTGCCTATTCTTCTTCCTATTCAGCATTCATGAAGGAGTATGAAAGCCTGAATCACATGAAACGTGTTCCAGACGATGAGACAGAGCCTCCACTTTCGTTTTACCTACCACATCATGGAGTTGTACGAGAAGGCAGTCTCACCACGAAATTACGAGTTGTCTTCAACGGATCAAGTCGCAGTAGCACAGGTGTATCCTTAAACGACTTGTTACATACGGGAGCAAAATTACAACTGAACTTATTCGACGTTATTATTTGGTTTCGCCAATTTCGGTACGTGTTTTCTACTGACGTGGAAAAAATGTATCGTCAGATAAAGGTACATCCCACCGATTGGAACTTTCAACGTATTCTGTGGTTGGACGAGTCTCACCACACTGTTACGTATCAATTAACAACGGTTACGTATGGAATGGCCTGTACGCCATTTTTAGCTCTTCGAGTCCTGAATCAACTGGTCTCTGACGAAGGATCTAACTTTCCACTCGCTGTTCCAATTCTACAACGTGGAAGATATGTTGATGACCTTTTTGGAGGAAGTAACTCGATTCACCATGCGTGTGAGATTGTCAGGCAATTAGATCAGCTCTGTATGGCGGGCGGTTTTCCCCTGCAAAAATGGATAAGCAACAACTCGGAAATCTTTGATCCTATTCCTGTTGGAAGACGGGTTAACTCGCCATGTTTACAAATCGAAGATACGACTGCAATACAGGTACTCGGGCTGTGCTGGAAACCTGTTGCGGATAATTTTCAATTTACAATTAATTTATCATCATCTCCAGTAATGACAAAACGAAGCGTTCTCTCAACCATCGCGAGATTGTTTGACCCTCTCGGTTTGATATCACCAGTCATCATTCCAGCTAAGATATTTATTCAAGAATTATGGACTATGAAGATTGACTGGGATGATTCGTTGCCTCCGCACCTCTCTTCCAAATGGATCAAATTTATTGATCAACTTAAGACCACGTCAAATTTAACATTCCCGCGTTGGTTGAACACTCAGTCTAAACAACCAATCGAGATTCACGGATTTTGCGATGCCTCTCAACAAGCTGTCTCTGCAGTGATCTATATTCGAACCTCTAACGATCAAGGGGAGACAATTTCCAGTTTAGTATGCTCCAAGACAAAGGTTGCGCCTTTAAAAAGAATGACTGTTCCACGGCTGGAACTTACTGGAGCAGTACTTTTAACCAAATTAATGTCGCATGTTCTCCGAATTCTAGAACTTTCAACTTCTCCAGTATACATGTGGACCGACTCTGCCGTTGCATACACCTGGATAAACAATCATCCTTCTAGATGGAAAGACTTTGTTTACAACAGAGTCTGCTTCATCCAAGAGACGGTGCCACAAGCAACCTGGAAATTTGTTCCTGGCACTGAAAATCCAGCTGACTGTGCAACCCGAGGACTAACACCTTCGCAATTGTCTGAACACTTGATGTGGTGGACAGGACCTCAATGGTTATCGCAATCAACCTGGCCGAAATACTCTCAACTGCCATCTCATAAAGACAACCTCGAAGAGCGACCTACAAA